ACATAGTGGCTGCAACAACAGGCTCTAACATAATAATTGTGAAGATAGCACAAGACCAGGAAGTTCTATTGTGCATAGGGTCACTATAAGTTAGAACCAACTCAATAGTGCCTAACAACAATTAACAACCACAAAGTTTTGTTGTTGTTGTTGAGTGCTGTTGAGTTGGTTCTGGCTCACAGTGACCTTGTATAAGGTTTCCAAGGAGTTGTTGTTGTTATATGCCGTCGAGTCGGTTCCAACCCATAGCAACTCTGTGTAGGGTTTCCGAGGAGCAGCTGGTGAGCTTGAACTGCCAACCTTGCAGTTTAAACAACTTTGCAGTCTGGCGCATTAACCCACACAACCACACCAAGGAGTAGTTGGTGGGTTTTAACATTGTGGTTAGCAGTCAAGTGCTTATTCTACAGCATCACCCAAGAACAACGCACACATATATACAACATAATACACATATATACAATACAAAAGAAAGACATTACAGGGTGTTACAAAGATGAAAAGTATTCGGAACCCTCATATACAGCATCAAAAGAAGATGGAAGGACAGAGTCACTGTACAAAAAAGAAATGATCAATGCTTAACCATTTCAGGAGGCAGCTTATGATCAAGAGCCAAGGATACTGAAGGAAAAAGTCCAAAGTGCATTGAAGGTACTGGCAAAGAACACGGCTCCAAGAATTTATGGACTACAAAATGAAATCCATCAACAAACTGATGAAGTTCTAGAGGCATTCACTCATCTATGTCAAGAAATTTGGAAGACAATTACCTGGCCAAATGGTTGGAATAGATCTACATTTGTGCCCATTCTAAAAAAAGGTAACCCAAAGGAATGCAGAAATTATCAGACAATAACATTAATATCTCACACAAGTAAAATTTTGCTAACTGTGAACCAAGAACAACTGCAAACGTACATTGACAGAGAACTGCCAAAGGTTCAAGGTAGACTCAGAGAAGGACATGGAATGAAGGATATCATTGCAGCCGTCAGATGGAGCTTGACTAAAAGCAGAGAATACCAAAAAGATGTTCACCTGTGCTTTACTGACTATGCAAAGGCTTCCGATTATTTGAGTATTCTGGAACACTTGATTGTGATCATGAGGAACTTGTACATAGACCAATAGGCAGTTGTTCAAACAGAATAAGGGAACAGTGAATGGTTTGAAATTAGTAAAGGTGTGTGCCAGGGTTGTATTCTTTCACCATACTTATTCAATCTGTATGCTGAGCACATAATCCCAGAAGCTGGATTATATGAAGAAAACGTGGCATCAGGATTGGAGGGAGATTCATGAACAACTTGCGAGATGCTGATGATACAACCTTGCTTGCTGAAAGTGAAGAGGACTTAAACTACATATTGATGAATATCTAGGACCACAACCTTCGGTAAGGGTTGCACATCAATGTAAAGAACACAAAAATCCTCACCACTAGACCAATAAACAACATCCATGTAAGTGGAGAAGAGACTGATGTTGTGAAAGACTTCATTTTACTAGGCTCAACCACCAACGCTCATGAAAGCAGCAGTCAAGAAATTAAACTATATATTTCATTAGGCAAATCTGCTATACAAGATCTCATTAAAGTGTTGAAGGGCAAAGATGTCAGTTTGAGAGCTAAGGGTCACACAAGCCATATTTTCAATAATCTCGCATGCACTTAAAAGTTGGACAGTAAATAAGAAAGACCATAGAATTGATGCATTTGAGTTATGGTGTTGGAGAAAAATATTAAAAGTACCATGGACTGCCAAAAGAACAAACCAATCTGTATTGGAAGAATTCTTGTTGGAATGCTTCTTGGAAGCCAGGATGGCCAGACTTCAAGTCTCCTATTTCAGATATCATTGTCAGGAGGGACTAGTCCCTGGAGAAGGAGATCATGTTTGGTAAAGTGGAGTGAAGAAAAAGAAGACCCCAACTAGATGTATTGGCACAGTGGCAGCAGCAATGGGCTCAAATGCAATAGAGAGTTCCTGTGAAGTGCTGGTGTGGCACTGTACGGTAAGTACTGGACTGTTAACAAGGTTGGTATTTCAAACCCACCAGCCACTTCTCGGAAACCCTATACAGGGTTACTATAGGTCAGAAGTGACTGAATGGTTCTTAACAACAAGATAGTTCTTGAAATCCTTTGAGTAGGGGACGCATGGACGGGAACACCTCTACCTCATACCCGAAATTCCTATAAAAACTCCCCTCACCTTTTGTTTGGGGAGACGGATTTGGGACATTTTCTACCCCTTGTTACCCTGCATATCAATGCTCAATAAATACTTTCCTCTTTGCTCTGAGTCCTGTCTCTGAATGTCATCTCCATCAGTGGCAGATGATAACCATTTTAATTGTTAACAGTGGTGAGCTGGTTTAAGCTTTCGGCAGCTAACTAAATCAAAGTAAGTGGTTCAAATGCACAAATCACTCCACAGGAAAAAGCTGAGGTTCCCTGCTCCCAAAATGATTAACAAAGTTCAAAGCAATCAAACCAAAACCACTCCAGTTTTCAGGATTCCTGAGATGCAACCAGAAAACACACTAAAACTCTCAAATACCAGCCTTTTTGTTGTAGTTAAGTAGGTTCAAACTCACAGCGAACTTATGCACAACAGAATGAAACACTGTGCCAACCTCATAATAATCATTACACTTGAACCCAATGCTGCTGCCACTATGCCAACTCATTTCACTGGGAGTCTCCCTCTTTTTCACTGACTCTCCTCTATACCAAGCATGATGTCCTTCTCCAGAAACTGGTCCCTCCTGATAATACATCTGACATATGAGAGGTGTCCAATTATATATACATCTTTCAACACAGAATTGCTTGTTCTTCTGGCAATCTGTGGTACTTTCAATATTCTTCTCTAAAACCATAACTAAAATTCATCAATTCTTCTAAGGTCTTCCTTATTCACTGTTCAACTTTCACACGCAGGCTAATGAAAATATCATGAATTGGGTCAGGCACACCTTAGTCCTCAGACTAACATCTTTCCTCTTGAACATTTTAAAGAGGTCTTGTGCAACAGACTTGCCCAATGCATTATGTCATTTGATTTCTCAACTGCTGCTTTTATGAGTGTTGATGGTATATCCAAGTAAAATGAAATCTTTGACAACTTCAATCTTTTCTCCATTTATTTTGATGTTAATTATTGATCCAGTGGTGAGGATTTTTGTTTTGCTTGCATTGAGGTGCAACCCACACTGAAGCTTGTGTTCTTTGATCTTCATCAGTAAGTATTTTAAGTCCTCTTCACTTTCAGCAAGCAAAGTTGTATCATCAGCATATTGCAGGTTGTTAATGCAAGACCTCCAATCTGAAGCAGTGTTATTATAATCCAGCTTCTCGAATTATTTGCTCAACATACAGACTGAATACATAAGGTGAAAGAATACAACCCTGGCACAATCTTTTCCTGATTTTAAACCATCCAGTCGAAAGCCAATGCACAGGCAACAGAGCACAGATAAACATCTTTCTGGTATTCTCTGCTTTTGGCCAAGATCCATCTGTTGTCAACAACGATATCCCTCATTACAGGTCCTTTTTTGAACCTGGCTTGAACCTAGGGCAGTTCTCTGTCAAAGTATGTTTGCAGCTGTTTTTGTATTACCTTTAGTAAAATGTTAGTCGCATGGTATTATCCTATGATTTCTGCATTCCGTTGGGTCACCTCTCTTTGGAATGGGCACAGATACATATCTCTTCCAGTCAGTTTGCCAGGTAGTTGTCTTCCAAATTTCCTGATATAGATGAGTGAGTGCCGCCAGTGCTACATCGTTTGTTGAAAGATGTCAATTTGTGTTTCATCAATTCCTAGAGCCTGTTCTAATGCCTTCAGTGCACCGTTGACTTCTTCCTTCAGGACCACAGGCTCTTAATCATGTGCTCTCTTGAAATGGTTGAACATCGTCCATTTCTTTTTGGTAGAGTGACTCTGGATATTCCTTCCACCTCTTTTCTGCATCATTCAATATTTTGCCCATAGAAACCTTCAATAGTGCAAGTCAAGGCTTGAATTTTTTCTTGTTTCAGAGTCTCTCTGACATCCATTTTGGTCTTTTCCTTCTTTCTTGTCTTCTTACTTTCTTCCTTTATGATGTTCTTGATGTCATCACACAACTCTTCTAGTCTTTGGCCATTAGTGTGTAAAGCATCAAATATGTTCTTCAGATGATCTCTAAATTCAGGTAGGATATATTCAAGGTCAAATTTTGGTTCTTGTGGACTTGTTTTAATTTACTTCAGTTTCAGCCTGAAGTTGCATATGACACTTCTGTTTCAGTTGGCCCCTGGCCTTGTTCTGACTGATTATATGCAGCTTTTCCACTGTCTCTTCCCACAGATGTATTCTATTTGATTTCTGTGTATGACCTTTGGTGAGGTCTGGTGTGGCGCTGTGGGTTAATGTGCTGTACTGAAAAGTCATGTGAACCGCAGGTCAGCAGTTCAAGTCTACCAGCCGATCCTTGGAAACCCTAAGCTATGGGTCGGAACCGATTCGATGGCATTTAACAACAACAAAATGTGTATAATCATCTCTTATCTTGTTTTCAAAAGATATTTGCATTGAACAAATCACTGGTCTTGCAAATTTCTATCATACACTCTTTCAGCATAGTTTCTATCACCAAGACCACATTGTCCAACAACTGATCCTTCCTCTGTTTCCAAGTTTGCATACCGATCTCCAGTAATTATCAATAAATCTTGATAGCATGTTTGATCAACTTCAGACTGAAGAAATTGGTAGAAGTCTTCAATAACATCATCACTGGCTTTAGTTGTAGGTGCATAAATTTGAATAGTAGTGGTATTAACTGGTCTTTCTTGTGTGGTTAAGTATCGTGGAGTTGGTTCCGACTCATAGGCTTTCCAAGGAGAATATAGGGTTTCCAAGAAGCAGCTACTGAGTTCGAACCACCAACCTTTTGATTCAAAATGACCTTGTAGTCCAATGCTTTATCCCACAGTGCAACACCAGGACTCTGGTCTTGTAGGCATATGTATATTATCCTATTACAGACAGCGTTATACTTCAAGATAGATTGTAAAATTTGCTTTTAAATGATGAATGTGATTCTATTCCTCTATAATTTATCATTCCATCACAGTAAACCATGTAATTGTTAGATTCAAACTAGCCATTTCAGCTCACTAATGCCTAGGATCTCAATTTTTGTGTCCCATTTCATTTTTGACAACTTTCAATTCTCCTGGATTCATACTTCATGCATTCTATGTTCTGATGATAGATGAATGCCTACAGTTGTTTCACCGAGGAGTGGCTGGTGGGTCTGAACCACCAATATGGTGGCTAGAAGTCCAGTGCTTATCCTATAGTGCCACACACAGATGTTCGTGGAGGTGTGCCCTCAAGTCTGTTCCTACTCATAGCAACCCTGTACAGGGTTTCCAAGACTATAAATCTTCATGGGAGCAGAAAGCCTTTGTCTCCTGAGCAATGGCTGGTAGATTCAAACTTCTGATCTTTCAGTTTAGCATCACCATTGATAAACAGTGCCAATCTGGGTGCTAACGCTAACTCACACATTGTTTTGTTTTGTTTCTGGTATTAGAGGGCACACAGAATGACAAGAATCAGCATTTCTTCAGTTCCCTTCCAAGATTCTATCCATGCAAAAGTCAACAAGAGAGAATTTAATAAAGATTTAAATAAGGAGAGCAAGAGTAGAGTGCTGAAACACTCAACAAATTTAAGTTTACTCTTTGGTAGTTTTGCTTTCCAAAGTACCCTTTTGAATCATCTACCATGGAGAGATGACCAGATTTGCTCCAACCTCCTTCACATGTCACTGAGTTATGGGGTCCTCTCCTCCAACCAAAACACAAAGAGACCAAAAAAACAAAAACAAAACTCATTGCCATATAGTTGATTTGCATTGATAGTAACCCTACAGGATGACAGAGTAGGACTGCTCTATTGGACTTCAGAGACTATAAATATTTACAGGAGCATCCTCATCTTTCTCCTACCCAAGGAACAGCTGGTGAGTTTGAACCTCAGCCTTGCACTTAGCAGCACAATGCTTAAGCCACTATGCCACCAGGGTTCCTTTCTTCTCCCCCAGAGTACCTTAAAACTCTCTGGTATACTTAGAAGAGCAATTCAAGTCTAGTTCTCCTTCTAAAACTGTGAATACTTAAATTTATCACAAATTTCAGCAAAACAAAAGGTCCTTCATTTACATTATGCATTGAGTAGGTAATCTGATACCTTCCTTTTGCTACTTGAATATGCCCTGGGGCATGAGTGCACTTAACAAAATAAATAAATAAATAAATAAAAATTCACATATTATTCTCCTTAATATACATCAAGTAATTTAGTTATATTAGCTAAATATACAGAATTATTTTTGTGACAACTAACAAATAAATTGGTTTTTATAATTATATTTGATTTTTGCACCATAAATTCAAGTTTAGTAAATAACATAAAAGCTAACAAAAACACGTAGCTTTTAGACATTATTTTTAAAGTTTATTTAACAAATTTGTTTACAATAATACTGGTTGGGAACAGTTAGTCTGTGTTTAAGCAGCATACTTAGTAAGCCACACAGAAGGAAAGAGAAAAAATAATAAACCTTATTGTCTGTCTTATATATTTTTCCTATTGTAAAGGTTTCATATGGCCTAAAGGCAGCTACAACTAAAAAACCTGGTTTCCTGATTCAAAATTTATTTCTAAATCCTGGGAAATAAAAGTATAACAACTGGGCACTAAATTAAACTATAATAGCTAAATGCCCCAAGTTTATTATATGCTTCAATTAAAAAAATACATATAACTATGCCTGTTGTTAAATGTCATTACGTTGGTTTTGATTCATAGTGATCCTGTATTAGGGTTTCCAAGGAGTGGCTGTTGAGTTTGAATCATCCATTTGTGGTTGGGCATTCAGTGCTTATCCACTACAGGAATCCCTAACTATGCCTAGCAAGTAACTATCAAGGGCACATTTATAATCATTTTACATGTTTAGGCTGAGAATTCATCTATAATGAAATTTAGATACTACTCAGAAAGAGTAAGTCCTCAAGGATGTTGTTGTTAAGTGCTGTGGAGTTGGTTCTGACTCACAGCGACCCTGTGCAGGGTTTCCTAGGAGCAGCTGGTGAAGCTTGAACCATCAACCTTGTGGTTCAAAACCGACCTTGCAGTCCAGCTCTCATTAACCTGTCCCTTCCTTTAAATTTCACCCTTCATTCTGGGAAGTAAATTGGTCCTTACCTGACCAAATGACCAGGCTTCAAGCATAAGATGGAGATTCAAACCATAGACTTTCCATAAAATCACAGAACGTTGGCTTTAAAAGGGTTTATAAATACCTAGAAAAAAAAAATCTGAACTTCTCAACAGGGGTGGGTTTGCCTCTAGGGAACATTCGGCAATGCTTGGAAACATTTTTAGTTTTCACAACTGGAGGTGTAATCTAGTGAATAGAGGCCAGCGATGCTGCTAATCCACAATAAACAAGGTATCTCTCCACCATAAAATATTATCGAACCCAAAATATCAATAGTGCTGAGTGAGAAACTCATACTAATTAGATTCTTTAAAAACAGATACAGAAATTGAGGCCCTAAGTAGTTAAGACTAGGAGCTCTGGTAGCTACTAGTTACAAGTCAGACTGCTAACCTCAAGGTCAGCAGTTCTACACTACCAGCTATTCCACGAAAGAAAGACAGGTCTTCTGCTTCCGTGAAGATTTACAGCCTCAGAAATCCTATACAGGGTCACTATGAGTCAGAACCGACTCCATAGTACACCACCATCACACCACCAAGAAGTTAAGAATTTACAAAAGATTATGGTAAGATTAGTGACAGGACCAGAACTAAACTTTAGGTGCTTTGACTCCTAACCCACACTATTTTCTATACAGTTGGAGGATAAAGATAAAAGATGAGGCAGACTCTCTTTGCGGAAGACACGGTCGCAGCTGCAGGTTTCCTCATTCGGACGCTCCTGCTCCTGACTCACCGCTGTTCGCTCCTGCTCCTGACTCACCGCTGTTCGCTCTTGGAGAGGAACAAGTCGGGCAGGAAGCCCCAACGCCGCCATGGCTTTTAAGGATACCGGAAAGACACCCGTGGAACCAGAGGTGGCCATTCACCGGATTAGAATTACTCGAACCAGCCGCAACGTGAAGTCGCTGAAAAAATTGTGTGCTGACTTGATTAGAGGCGCTAAGGACAAGAACCTGAAAGTGAAGGGCCCGGTTAAGATGCACACCAAGACTCTTGAGAATCACAACAAGGAAGACTCCTTGTGGTGAAGGTTCTAAGACCTGGGACCGCTTCCAGATGAGAATCCACAAGCGACTCATTGATTTGCACAGTCCTTCTGAGATTGTTAAGCAAACCACTTCCATCAGTATTGAGCCTATAGTACAGGTTGAAGTCACCACTGCAGATGATTGAGTCAACTATTTTAATAAATTGAGTATCCATTAAAAAAAAAAAAAAAGATGAGGCAGACTCTTCTTGCTTGTAGCTTTTCTTGAGTAGCCAATCCACTCAGTATTTACACAATCTTTATCAGTAGAACTGAGCCAAGTTTAGAGAACACTTCTTTCCTGGGCCACCTTTCTCCTATAATTTAACTCCATTCAACATATGTTTTGAGAGTCTACTGCTAAAAAACAAGAAGAACCAACAGAACAGCGGGAATGGGACACCTTCGAAGATAAAAATTCCCCAGAAAAACACCAAGGATAATGCAATAATGAGATCACCTAAAAAGAACTCTACAGATAAAAACATTTTAGAAAAGTACTTGCTCTTAAATATTAGCCATCTTTCATTTTTTATTAACTGTACAGTAAAGGCTAAACAACTTTCCAGTAGGATACAACAGTCCTTTGTAGAAGAGAAAGCAACCTATGTCTCAAATATATTTTATTTTAGCAAGTATAAGTCTGTTTATTTTCCAATAAAATTGTGAATATTCCCAGACTTTGTCCTTGCATAATTCCCTCCTCTTCAGTGTGGGGTGACTTGCTTCTAAGTGAATACAGCAAATGTGTTTACATATACATACATGATTGGTGGTAGTGCTGATTGTGTGCCACCGAGTCGATTCTGACTCATAGCAACTCCATATAGAGTTTCAAAGGCTATAATTCTTTACAGGAGCATAAAAACCTCATCTTTCTCCTATTACAGGAGCATAAAAACCTCATCTTTCTCCTATTTTATAGAACATAGAAAGTGTGGTTTAGGAATCAGAGCACTGAAGTTTAGTTCTGGCACTGTCATTAATCTTCCCATGATCTTTTGTAAATTCTCAATTTCTTTATCTTGCAGTTAGCAATCCAGTTTGTAAGCCACTATACCGCTAGGACCCCTTATACATGATAACAGGTATGTAATTATATTAAGGAGTCCTGGTGTGGCACTGTGGGATAAAGCACTGGACTTTAAGGTCAGTTTGAACCACAAGGTCTGCGGTTCAAACTGATCAGCTGCTCCTTGGAAACCCTATACAGGGTCTCTATGAGTTAGAACTTAACAACAACAATTACATTACATATGGAGTCCTGGTATGATGCTGTAGGATAAGCACTGAATCACAAGTTGGTTTGAGTCAAAAGGTCATTTGTTTAAACTCATCAGCCACGCCTCAGAAGCCCTCTACAGGGTGTCTAGGAGTTGGGATCCACTCAACAGCACTTAACAACAAAATATGCTTGCTGGTGGTGGTGCAACTCTCATCTTGCTGCACTCTCTCTGTCAATGAAGAAGCAAACTGCCATATTACGAACAGTCCTTTAAAGAAGGTCAAGTGCGAAATAACTTAGGCCCTTTGACCCACAACCTGCATAGAACTAAATGCTACCAACACACACATGGCCTTAGAAATAGATTCTTAACTTGATGTTAGACTACATTCCTGGCCAACACATGATTTCAGCTTTCAGGTAAAACACTGAAGCAGAGCCAAACAGTCATGCCAGGACCCCTAACACAGAAACTTGAAGTGATA